TGGATATGAAATTCTGGGTTGAAAATTCTTTTCTTTAAGAATGTTGAATATTGGCCTCCACTCTCGTCTGGCTTGTAGGGTTTCTGCCAGGAGATCTGCTGTTAGTCTGATGGGCTTCCCTTTGTGGCTAACCTGTCTTTTCTCTCTGGCTGCCCTTAACATTTTTCCCTTCATTTCAACTTGGTGAATCTGACAATTATGTGTCTTGGAATTGCTGTTCTCGAGGAGTATCTTTGTGGCATTCTCTGTATTTCCTGAATTTGAATGTTGGCCTGCCTCGCTAGGTTGAGGAAATTCTCCTGGATAATATCCTGAAGAATGTTTTCCAACTTGGTTCTGTTCTCCCTGTCACTTTTAGGTACAGCAATCAGATGTAGATTTGGTCTTTTCACATAGTCCCATATGTCATGGAGGCTTTGTTCATTTCTTTTTACTCTTTTTTCTCTAAACTTCTCTTCTCACTTCATTTCATTCATTTGATCTTCAATCACTGATACCCTTTTTTCCACTTGATCAAATCAGCTACGGAAGCTTGTACATGTGTCACGTAATTCTTGTGCCATAATTTTCAGCTCTATCAGGTCATTTAAGGATTTCTCTACACTGTTTATTCTAGTTAGCCATTCATCTAATCTTTTTTCAAGGTTTTTAGCTTCTTTGCAATGGGTTTGAACATCCTGCTTTAGCTCGGAGAAATTTGTTATTACTGATCATCTGAATCCTTCTTCTCTTCACTTGTCAAAGTCATTCTCCATCCAGCTTTGTTCTGTTGCTGGCGAGGAACTGCATTCCTTTGGAGGAGAAGAGGCACTCTGATTTTTAGAATTTTCAGCTTTTCTGCTCTGGTTTCTCCCCATCTTTGTGGTTTTATCTACCTTTGGTCTTTGATGATGGTGATGTACAGATGGGGTTTTGGTGTGGATGTCCTTTCTGTTTGTTAGTTTTCCTTCTAACAGTCAGGACCCTCAGCTACAGGTCTATTGGGGTTTGCTAGAGGTCCATTCCTGACCCTGTTTGCCTGGGTATCACCATTAGAGGCTGCAGAATGGTAAATGTTGCTGTCTGATCCTTCCTCTGGAATCTTTGTCTCATAGGGGCACCCAGCCATATGAGGTGTCAGTCGCCCCCAACTGGGAGGTGTCTCCCAGTTAGGCTACTCAGGGTCAGGGACCCACTTGAGGAGGCAGTCTGTCCATTCTCAGATCTCAAACTCCATGCTGGGAGAACCACTACTCTCTTCAAAGCTGTCAGACAGGGATTTTTAAGTCTGCAGAAGGTTCTGCTGCCTTTTTTTCAGCTATGCCTTACCCCTAGAGGTGGAGCCTACAGATGCAGGCAGGCCTCCTTGAGCTGTGGTGAGCTCTACCCAGTTCAAGCTTCCCAGCCACTTTGTTTACCTAGTCAAGCCTCAACAATGGCAGCTGCCCCTCCCCAGTGTCAGTGCCGCTTCACAGTTTGATCTCAGACTGCAGTACTAGCAGTGAGTGGGGCTCCGTGGGTGTGGGACTGTCTGAGCCAGGTGTGGGATGCAATCTCCTGGTGTGTCATTTGCTAAAGCCATTGGAAAAGCGCAGTATTAGGGTGGCAGTGTCCCAATTTTCCAGGTGCAATCTTTCATGGCTTCCTTTGTCTAGGAAAGGAAATTCCCCCACCTCTTGCACTTCCCAGGTGAGGTGATGCCCTGCCCTGCTCTGTGGGCTGCACCCACTGTCTGACAAACCCCTGTGGGATTAACCCAGTTCCTGAGTTGGAAATGTAGAAATCACCCATCTTCTGCATCACTCACGCTGGGAGCTGCAGACTGGAGCTGTTCATATTTGGTCATCTTGGAGCCTCCCCCCTTCCTTACATCTTATACAAAAATTAACTCAAGATGAATTGAAGACTTAAATGTAAAACCTAAAGCGATAAAAACCCTAGAAGAAAACCTAGGCAATACCATTCAGGACATAGGCATGGGCAAAGACTTCATGATTAAAACACCAAAAGCAATGGCAACAAAAGCCAAAATTGACAAATGGGACCTAAGTATACTAAAGAGCTTCTGCAAATGAAGCTATCATAAGAGTGAACAGGCAACCTACAGAATGGAAGAAAATTTTTGCCATCTATCCATCTGACTAAGGTCTAATATCCAGAATCCACAAGGAACTTAAACAAATTTACAAAACAACAACAACAACAACAACAACAACAACAAAAACTACTGGGTCTGTCCTGCAGACCCTGGCCAATGGATGAAACGAATACTCATATACAGGTATGCAGTGTAAGAGCCAGCTTAAGTGGCCAGAGTGTAGCCTCGAGAAGCTGGAGCTGCATGCTTTTATTCAGTGTAGGCACAATGCTGAAAACCTGGAGCCCACATAATCTGTAGGTAATTAATATTTATTGTTCCCCTTTCAGGGAACATCAAGCAGGGATGATCAAAGGTCAGCTCCTGGTCAATATAAGTAAACAAGTCTATTCATGATGACTTCCCCTTCCCTCCCTTGTGCATATTCTTGCCCTCTGCCTCAGGGTCAGAGAACAGCTGCCTTCATCTATTCTCACCTGAAGCTATGCAGAGCCTTTTCACCTTTCAGAAGAGCTGTTCCTTTCCCTATACTTTCTCCCACCACTCTGACTGATCTCCTACAAACAACTCCATCAAAAAGTGAGTGAGCAGACACTTCTCAAAAGAAGAGATTTATGCAGCCAACAAACATGAAAAACAGTTCATCATCACCGGTCATTAGAGAATGCAAATCAAAACCGCAATGAGATACCATCTTATGCCAATTAGAATGGTGATCATTAATAAGTCAGGAAACAAGAGATGCTGGTGAGAATGTGAACAAATAGGAACACTTTTACACTGTTAGTGGGAGTGTAAATTATTTCAACCATTGTGGAAGACAGTGTGTTGATTCCTCAATGATCTAGAACCAGAAATTCCATTTGATCTAGCAATCCCATTACTGGGTATATATCCAAAGGATTATAAACCATTTTACTATAAAGATACATGCACATGTATGTTTATTGCAGCACTATTTACAGTAGCAAAGACTTGGAACCAACCCAAATGCCCATCAATGACAGACTGGATAAAGAAAATGTGGGACATACACACTACGGACATACACACAATACTATGGAGCCATAAAAACTAATGAGTTCATGTCTTTTGCAGGGACATGGATGAAGCTGGAAACCATCATCCTCATCAAACTAACACGGGAACAGAAAACCAAACACCACATGTTCTCACTCATAAGTGGGAGTTGAACAATGAGAACACATGGACACAGGGAGGGAAACATCACACACCAGAGCCTGTCGAAGGGTTGGGGAGCAAGGGGAGGGAGAGCATTGGACAAATACCTAATGCATGTGGGGCTTAAAACCTAGATGACAAGTTCATAGATGCAGCAAACCACCATGGCACATGTATACCTATGTAACAAATCTGCACAATTCTGCACATGTATCCCAGAAATTAAAGTAAAATAAAAAAATTAAAAAAGTTTATCAATCACTTGATTACAACTTTATTTCAGAGATCCTCCACCAAACAAGAAAATCTTTCCTATAATTTAATTTATTTAGCTATTAAATGATAGACTTGGCGTAATCAATGTCAAATTTCAAATAAGTTAAATATGAAGGATGATTAGAGATGATAGGCATTTAGTTCCTAAAGAAGAAAATTCATTTTTAAAAAACTAAAGAAGAAACAAAAAACTCCTTTTATTAATTTACCCTTTCTTTCTTTCTCTTTCTTTCTTTCTTTCTTTCCTTTCTTTCCTTTCTTTCCTTTCCTTCCTTTCCTTCCTTCCCTTCCTTCCCTTCCTTCCCTTCCTTCCCTTCCTTCCCTTCCTTCCCTTCCTTCCCTTCCTTCCCTTCCTTCCCTTCCTTCCCTTCCTTCCCTTCCTTCCTTCCTTCCTTCCTTCCTTCCTTCCTTCCTTCCTTCCTTCCTTCCTTCCTTCCTTCCTCTTTCTTTCTTTCTTTCTTTCTTTCTTTCTTTCTTTCTTTCTTTCTTTCTTTCTTTCTTTCTTTCTTTCTTTCTTTCTTCCTTTCTTCCTTTCTTTCTGTCAGAGTCTTGCTCTTTTGCCAGGCTGAAGTGCACTGGTGCGATTTCAGCTCACTGCAACCTCTGCCTCCTGGATTCAAGAGATTCTCCTGCCTCAGCCTCCCAAGAAGCTGGGATTACAGGCACCCACCACCACACTCGACTAATTTTTGCATCCTTAGCAGAGATGGGATTTCACCATGTTGCCCAGGCTGGTCTTGAACTCCTGACCTCAGGTGATCCACCCGCCTCGGCCTCCCAAAGTGCTGGGATTACAGACGTGAGCCACCGTGCTCCATCTAATTTACTTTTCCTTGTTTGCCTTGCCTGGGATTTACATTTCAAATAAAAAGTTTTTGTTTAATTTTTTTTGACAAACTAATCTATGTTAGACATACTATTCATTTATATTTGTTTTCCTTCTCATAAAACACATTCTGCTTCTTACATTTATTTTCTCAAATACATGAATTCACCCATAGTCTCTCTAGTTCCTCTCTACTGATTCAACGCATGATTCTTTCAGCTATTCATTATAATATAAAAAGCTTTGAAATCCCCAACCATTCTCACGCTTTCTATCTCAGTGCTTTGTTGTCTACAGACTTTGCAGACTGATGTGATTCCCTCTGAAACTTGAATTACTAGGTTTTAAAAAAATTCTCCTTTTTTTTCTTTCCAAAGTAAAAGACAAATAGGCCAGGAATGTAAATTTAGCATTTGAGCAACCATTATTCAATCAGCTAGGTTGTAATGGTTATTTCAGGATTAATGTAAAAGTGGTGCGTTGATTTTATGCATGCCGAACTCTTTTTTTTTTGCTGTTAAGGGAATTCGTAGGTAAAACATTGCTTAAAACTTCTAAACTATTATTATCTGTTAACAAATACAAAGTGTTTTATAACTACAGTTTACTAGTATTTTAAAATTGTTTCCAATTCTTTAGGCTCACCCTGTGATCCCACTTTCATCCTGGGCTGTGCTCCCTGCAATGTGATCTGCTCCATTATTTTCCATAAACGTTTTGATTATAAAGATCAGCAATTTCTTAAAGTGATGGAAAAATTGAATGAAAACGTCAAGATTTTGAGCAGCCCCTGGATCCAGGTAAGGCCAAGATTTTTGCTTCCCGAGAAACCACTTATGCCCTTTTTTTCTGACAAATTCAAAATCCTATATGGACCAAACCCTGAAGTGCATTTTTGAATACTACAGTCTTGCCCATACAGCCATGGGGTAAATATCTGGGAAAGATGGCAAAGCCCTTTATTTTATGCACAAGAAATGAATGTCCCAATATAGATCTGGCTTCTAAGTCCATTAGCTCCCTGATCAGTGTTTTTTCCACTAAACTCCAAAGCCCTTTTTCTATAAAGTACTTTGGTGACAGCCCCAAAGCGTGCTCATATCACTCCATGGACATCCAGGCACTTTGGAGGCTTCCATTACTCAGAAGTCTTGTCCTCCAATTCACACTTTGTCATATTATGTGGCAGAAATATCCTAATCTAAAAGATGTTATCTCCTTCAAGGAGGGAGAATATTTGGAACCATAGAAGCTGCCAAAAAACACTGAATAGGGCAGGGGTGTTTGATATCTCAGTTGGGATTCTAGCTGATGAGATAGCTGGGTTAGGAATGACAAAATTATTGCTTTTTTGTGTGTGTATGAACCATAAACAGACATCACACTTTTACCCTGTGCTGAACTGGCATGTTTTATACTCTGCCTAGATAATAACTGTGTGATTTTAGAGAAGTCATTTAACTGCTCTGGTGCACAGTTGGAATTTGAAGCATCTTTGAACCCCTCCAACTTCTAAAATACTAATTACATTTCAGAGGTTGCTTGATAGAAATCAATATAGTAGGGACTATCTTTGTACTATCAATCAGATTTTCCAAATTCTTTTAACCTATGCTGTCATCTACAAAACGTGAATGTAGTAATTGACACCATCTTATATTTCAAGATTGTAGAGAAGAATTGTAAAAAGTAAGAGAATTAATATAAAGATGCTTTTATACTATAAAAAGGAGATATGAGTCTAGGAAATGATTATCATCTTTGATTCTCTGGTAAGAATTTTCTTCCTCAAATCTTTTATAATCAGAAAATTACTACATATGTACAATAAAAATTTCTCCATCAAGATATAGAATATATTTTATTTATATTTATATCTTTAAATTACAACCAGAGCTTGGTATATGGTATGTAAGCTTTTATTAAATGCTTTTAATTTAATAAATTGTTGTTTTCTCTTAGATATGCAATAATTTTCCTCCTTTCATTGATTATTTCCCGGGAGCCCATAACAAATTACTTAAAAACATTGCTTTTTTGAAAAGTTATATTTTGGAGAAAGTAAAAGAACACCAAGAATCAATGGACATGAACAACCCTCGGGACTTTATTGATTGCTTCCTGATGAAAATGGAGAAGGTAAAAAGTTAACAAAAGCTTAATTATGTGACTGCTTGTGTATTTGTGATTCATTGACTAGTTTTGGGTTTACTATGGATGTTTAAGTGGTCAAGGAGTAATGCTTGAGAAGTATTTTAAGTTTTTATTGTATGGATGAATATCAAGTAAGCATCATAGAAAATATAAAATTAAATTGTTAAATATTTAGAATACATAGACTCGATTGTTTAGATAAATATAATCTACCTGAACAACAAAGATGGCAGAAGAGGAAAAGCCCTGTTCTGCAGCTTCCAGTGATATCAACGCAGAAGGTCGGTGATTTCTGCATTTCCAACTGAGGTGCCCAGCTCATCTCATTTGGACTGGTTAGACAGTGGTTGCAGCCCATGGAGAGTGAGCAGAAGCAGGGTGGGGCATCACCTCACCTGGAAAGCTCAAGGGGTCAGGGAACTACCTCCCCTAGCCAAGGGAAGCTGTGAGAGACTCTGCCATGAGGAACTGTGCATTCCCACCCAGATACTATGCTTTTCCAACAGTCTCAGCAACCTGCAGACCAGAAGATTCCCTGAGGTGCCTACAGCACCAGGGTCCTGGGTTTCAAGCACAAAACTGGGCAGCTGTTTGGGCAGACACCGAGTTAGCTGCAGGAGTTCTTTATTTCATACACCAGTGGCACCTGGAACACCAGTGAGACAGAGCTGTTCACTCCCCTGGAAAGGGGGCTGAAGCCAGGGAGCCAAGGGGTCTAGTTCAATGGATCCAACCCCCATGGAGCCCAGCAAGCTAAGATCCATTGACTTGAAGTTCTCCCTGCCAGCACAGCAGTCTGAAGTTCACCCAGGATGCTGGAGCTTGGTGGGGGGAGGGGCATCTACCATTACTAAGGCTTGAGTAGGTGGTTTTCCCCTCACAGTGTAAACAAAGCCACAAGGAAGTTAGAACTGGGTGGAGCCCACTGCAGCTCAGCAAAGCCACTATAGCTAGACTGTCTCTCTAGATTCTTCCTCTCTGGGCAAGACATCTCTGAAAGAAAGGCTGCAGTCCCAGTCAGGAGCTTGTACATAAAGTGTCCATTTCCCTGGGACAGAGCACCTGGGGGAAGGGGTGGCCATGAGCGCAGCTTCAGCAGACTTAAACTTTCCTGCCTGCCAGCTCTAAAGAGATCAGCAGATCTCCCAGCACAGTGCTTGAGCTTTGCTAAGAGACAGACTGCTTCCTCAAGTGGGTGCTTGACCCCCAAGCCTCCTGATGGGGAGACACCTCTCAGCAGGGGTCAACAGACACATCATACAGCAGAGCTTTGGGTGGCATCTGGTGGGTGCCCCTTTGGGATGAAGCTTTCAGAGGAAGGAGAAGGCAGCAATCTTTGCTGTTCTGCAGCCTCCACTGGTGATACCCAGGCAAAGAGGGTCTGGAGTGGACCTCCAGCAACTCCAGCAGACCCGTTGAAGTGGGGCCTTACTGTTAGAAGAAAAACTAATGAACAGAAAGAAAAAGCATCAACATCAACAAAAATCTCATACAAAGGTCACCAGCATCAAAGACCAAAGGTAGATAAATCCACAAAGATGAGGAAAAACCAACACAAAAAGTCTGAAAATTTCAAAAACCAGAATGCCTCTTATCCTCCAAAGGACCACAACTCCTTGCCAGCAAGGGAACAAAACTAGACGGAGAGTGAGTTTGATGAATTGAGAGGAGTAGGCTTCAGAAGGTGGGTGAAAACAAACTCTCTGAGCTAAAGGAGCATATTGTATCCCAATGCAAGAAAGCTAAGAACCTTGAAAAAAGGTTAGATGAATTGCTAACTAGAATAACCAATTTAGAGAAAAACATAAATGACCTGATGGAGCTGAAAAACACAGCATGAGAACTTCGTGAAGCATACACAAGTATCAATAGCCAAATTGATCAGGCAGAAAAAAGAATATCAGAGATTAAAGATCAAGTTAATGAAATAAAGCATGAAGACAAGATGAGAGAAAAAAGAATGAAAAGGAGCAAACAAAGCCTCCAATAAATATGGGACTATGTGAAAAGATCAAATCTACATTTGATTGGTGTACCTGAAAGTGATGAGGAGAATGGAACCAAGTTGGAAAATACTCTTCAGGGTATTACCCAGGAGAACTTTCTCAACCTAGAAAGGCAGGCCAACATTCAAATTCAGGAAATACAGAGAACACCACAAAGATACTTTTTGAGAAGAGCAACACCAAGACACATAATTGTCAGATTCACCAAGGTTGAGATGAAGGGAAAAATGTTAAGGGCAGCCAGAAAGAAAGGTCAGGTTACCCACAAAGGGAAGTTCATCAGACTAACAGCAGATCTCTCGGCAGAAACTCTACAAGCTAAAAGACAGCAGGGGCCAATATTCAACATTCTTAAAGAAAAGAATTTTCAACCCAGAATTTCATATCCAGCCAAACTAAACTTCATAAGCAAAGGAGAAATATCATTTTTTTACAGGCAAAAAAATGCTGAGGGATTTTGTCGCCACCAGTTCTGCCTTACAAGAGCTCCTGAAGGAAGCACTAAATATGGAAAGGAAAAATCAGTACCAACCACTGCAAAAACATACCAAATTGTAAAGACTATTGACACTGTGAAGACACTGTATCAACTAATGGGCAAAATAATCAGTCAACATCATAATGACAGGATCAAATTCACATATGAGAATATTAACTTTAAATGTGAATGAGATAAATGCCTTTCTTAAAAGACACAGACTGGCAGGTTGGATAATGAGTCCAGACCCATAGGTGGTCAGGACACCCATATCATGTACAAAGACACATGTAGGCTCAAAATAAAGGAATGGAGGAAGATTTACCAAGCAAACGGAAAGCAAAAAAAAAAAAAAAAAAAAAAAAAAAAAAAAAAAAGCAAAAAAAAAAAGCAAAAAAAAAAAAGCAAGGGTTACAATCCTAGTCTCGGATAAAACGGACTTTCAACCAACAAAGATCAAAAGAGATGAAGAAGGGCATTACATAAAGGTAAAGGGATCAATGCAACAAAAAGAGCTAACTATCCTAAATATATATATAGCCAATACAGGAGCACCCAGATTCATAAAGCAAGTTCTTAGAGACCTACAAAGAGACTTAGACTCCCACACAATAATAGTGGGAGACTTTAACAACCCACTGTCAATATTAGACAGGCCAATGAGACACAAAATGAACAAGGATATCCAGGACTTGAACCCAGCTCTGGACCAAGTGGACCTAATAGACATCTACAGAACTCTCCACTCCAAATCAACAGAATATACATTCTTCTCAGCACCGCATTGCACTTATTCTAAAATTGACCACATAATTGGACATAAAACACTCCTCAGCAAATGCAAAAGATGGAAATCATAGCAAACAGTCTCTCAGACCACAGTGTAATCAAACTAGAACTCAGGATTCAGAAACTCACTGAAAATCACGCAACAACATGTAAACTGAACAACCTGCTCCTGAATGAATATTGAGTAAATAATAAAATTAAGGCAGAAATAAATAAGTTCTTTGAAACCAATGAGAACAAAGACACAATGTACCAGAATCTCTGGGTCACATGTAAATCAGTGTTTAGAGGGCAATTTATAGTAATAAATGCCCACAGGAGAAAGTGGGAAATATCTAAAATCACCACTCTAACACCACAATTAAAAGAACTAGAGAAGCAGGAGCTAACAATTCCAAACTAGCAGAAGACATGAAATAACTAAGATCACAGAGAACTGAAGAAGATAGAGACCCAAAAGCTCCTTCAAACAATCAATGAATCCAGAAGTTGTTTTTTGAAAAGATTAAGAAAATAGACCAGTAGCTAGACTAATAAAGAAGAAAAGAGAGAAGATCAAATAGATACAATAAAAATGATAAAGGGCATATCACCACTGATCCCACAGAAATACAAACTACCCTCAGAGAATACTATAAACACCTCTACGTAAGTAAACCAGAAAATCTAGAAGAAATAGATGAATTCCTAGACACATACACCCTCCCAAGACTAAACCAGGAAGAAGTAGAATCCATGAATAGACCAATAACAAGTTCTGAAATTGGGGCAGTGATGAAGAACCTACCAACCAAACAAAACAAAACAAAAAACAAAAAACAAACAAACAAAACAAGACACTGATTCAGAGTCAAATTCTATCAGAGGTACAAAGAGGAGCTGATCCTATTCCTTCTGAAACTATTCCAAACAACAGAAAAAGAGGGAATTCTCCCTAAATCATTTTATGAGGCTAGCATCATCCTGATACCAAAACCTGGCAGAGACACAAGAGAAAAAGAAAATTTCAGGTCAATATACCTGATGAACATCAATGTGAAAATCCACAGTAAGATACTGGCAAACCAAATCCAGCAACACATCAAAAAGCTTATCACCACGATCAAGTTGGCTTCATCCTTGGAATGCAAGGCTGATTCAACATACACAAATCAATAAATGTAATCCATCATATAAACAGAACCAATGACAAAAACCACATCATTATCTCAATAGATGCAGAAAAGGCCTTCAAAAAAATTTAATACCTCTTCATGCTAAAACCTCTAAATAAACGAGGTATTGATGGAACGTATCTCAAAATAATAAGAGCTATTTATGACAAACCCATAGTGAATATTATACTGAATGGGCAAAAGTTGGAAGCATTTCCTTTGAAAACTGACTCAAGAAAAGGATGCCCTCTCTCACCACTCCTATTCAACATAGTATTGGAAGTTCTGGTGAGGTCAGTCAGGCAAGAGAAAGAAATTAGGTATTCAAATAGAAAGAGAGGAAGTCATATTGTCACTGTTTGCAGATGATGTGATTGTACATTTAGAAAACCTCATCGTCTCAGCCTCAAACCTCCTTAAGCTGATAAGAAATTTCAGCAAAGTCTCAGAATACAAATTCATTGTGCAACAATCACAAGCATCCTAGACACCAATAATAAACAAACAGAGAGCCAAATCATGAGTGAACTCCCATTCACAATTGCCACAAAGAGAATA